TTTTTTTTTTTTGCGGTACACGGGCCTCTCACTGTTGTGGCCTCTCCCGTTGCAGAGCACCCGCTCCGGACGCACAGGCTCAGCGGCCATGGCTCACGGGCCCAGCCGCTCCGCGGCATGTGGGATCTTCCCGGACCGGGGCACGAACCCGTGTCCCCTGCATCAGCAGGCGGACTCTCAAACACTGCGCCACCAGGGAAGCCCGCCCACTTCCTTTCTAAAGAAAAGATTTTTGTTTCCATTTAAAACGTGGGCAGCAGCCTTGGCCAGTGTGGCTGGCGTGGCTGGCGTCCTCCCACTCTGGGAGGTACTGGAAGCTTTTGCCAAGGCCCAGCTGTGGTTCTGAGGCTTCCCTGGTGTGAGATGGCACCCGGGTGTGAGTACCACTGGCTGGCTAAGTTATTCGTTGCGTATTTTGCCACTAAACTAAAATGAGAAAAACATACTCAAGTTCCAGTCTGTTGGCAGAAGCACTCTTTCCTTTGTGGTGGAGCCCTTAAGTTTGGCCAGAGCTGTCAACACCGTTTGTTTGCTCACAGCAGTAGGAACAGTCTCTTCATCTCTTCAAACCAACTCCTCAGAGCAGCTTCTAATACTAAGAAACTTTCCGGAGGGGCTAGAATATCTCCTTACCATGGAAGGTAAGGGAAACACAGGTGATAACATTTGTTTCTTGACTTCTAAAGAGGAGACGGTCTAACATTTACTTAGTGCACTAAGTGCACTATTTCACAGATATATAAGAGTAAACTGAGGCACAGAGCAGGTGCTACTTGTGTGTAGCACTACTACACAAAAGTAGTGTGTTTTCAGGGGCTTTATTTTCAAGGTTCATTTCTCTGCTTTTATGGCAATACGCTTATTTTCTGTAAGATATTCTTTTTGAGAAGCAAAAAGCTTCATGTAAAATACACTTTGAAACTCTTCCTACATGTTAGAGTCCATTACAGTTTTCCGAAAATAATTTATAATTTGTCTAAACTTTGGACTTTTCTTAATCTGTTTATATTCACTTTGGGGCAAAAATGTGTACACGGATATTTTGGAAATTTTCATCTGCTGCTTTTATTTAAGCTTAACTCCTGTATTTGTATTAGTTTTGGAATGTTTGTCCTGTCAACATTACCCATCCTGTTTACTATTTGGATTCCAGATAATGAAAAACACTTTCATCAGATGACACACTTATTTTTAAAATTTATTTTATTGAAGTATAGTTGATTTACAATGTTGTGTTAATTTCTGCTGTACAGCAAAGTGATTCAGGAATACATGTATACATTGTTTTTCATATTCTTTTCCATTATGGTTTATCACAGGATATCGAATATAGTTCCCTGTGCTATATACAGTAGGACCTTGTTGTTTATCCATTCTATATGTAATAGTTTGCGTCTGCTAACCCCAAACTCCCAATCCGTCCCTCCCCCACCTCCCCTCCCCCTTGGCAACCACAAGTCTGTTCTCTATGTAGGTGACACATTTAATTGACATGCACGTAAGCTTTCTCATACATATAGGCACATGCATAGCACTCATGAGTTCTTGCAAGTCTTGGCCCACCTGCATGTCCTCACATCCAGCAGTAGGAAGCCTCCAGTAGAAGGACTAGGAGTAAATAGTTGACTTTATATGCCGGGAGAAACACACATGTTACAGACTAGCCATGTTATAAAAGCTTTTTTACTATGTATAATTGCTTCAGGGAGCAAATTTTTAGGCTATGTTATTTCAGATCTCTAATAGTGAACGTGATGTAATTGAGTTCTGTGATACACAAATGTTCAGCGATGAGAAGGGAAGGCCAAAGTACAGTTTTTACTCTAAGCATAAAATGCTTTACAAATGCAAACAGTAAATGATATTTAAAACTATGTGAGAATAAATATGTGTCCTTTGAAACACCTTTAAGAAGTAAGCTCTGAAGAAAGCAAGGGTAACATAGAAGTTACAAAATAAATATCTATGTGTCTTTTGGAAAATATATGTGTTCTAAAATAAAGTGTAAGAGACTACAGGATAGTTAAAACTGAAATAAAATTTTAAACTAGTAGGAAATCCAGCAGACATGAATGAGGAAGTTTCAAAGAGAACTTTAGAAGAGCTTTGTGCTTCTCTGAAAGGACTGTTTCCCATGAAATAAGTATACTGCCAAGAAATCAGAGAAACAAAACTTGAAAAGGCCACAGAAAAGACTGAAACAAATAAATGCTCTCAAAGTGGCTGTTGATCTTTTAAAAGGTTCAGCAAGGTGGAATGTGTTCTTTAGTAAAAGGTAGAAAATTCAAGTATATAAATTTAGTGAAAAGAAGTCTCAGCAATTATATACTCCTTTTCCACATGTAAACTCTTTTGACTGTATAAACTGAAGGAAGAGAAATTCAATAGTATAGTGATCTCAGGTTGGTTTTGTGAGAGAATATAACTTCATTTAAGTCACATTTAAAAGAATAACAAAAAGAAATTAAGGGTAGTTCTTAAAAGGCAAATGGGATATCCTATTAATGTATCTAAAAGTGACCAAATTCGAAGACCACTTAAATATATTTGGAAAGGCTCTTGGGGTAAAACCTGGCAAAGAATAGAATGGAGAAAGTGCCCCAAATACCTACTCCAAAACCAGCCTTTGGGACACCATAGATAATTAAAGCTATCATTCATAAAGAAACGGGGTTTTTTAAAAGCATAAAGACACAATTCAAGACAACCCCAAGCACATTTCAAGACACAATTCAAGACAACCCCAAGCACATTTTTTTTGTTGTTATAAATAAGTACATGCAGATCTCTTTGTAATACATCTAATAAAAATGTTTTAGACATGACTATTTTGCTCACTGTTGTATCCCTAGCATCTAGAATAACACCTGGAACTGGCACAAAGTAGGCCAGTAAATAGTTGTTGAATGAATGAGTGATTATTTCAGTACCATCGTCAATTGTTAGTAACAAAATGCAATTTTACAGCCACTCATTTGTGGTGATAATAGTAGCATCCAAAGAAAAAGTGCCCTCCCCTCCCCTCAGTGATTCTGCTGTTTACAGCTGGTTTGGAAGCACTGCTTTAGTCAGGCTCAGGGGA